TCCATTGAAATTGAATCAAAAAGAGAGAGAGTGAAGTGACATCATTTGAGATTTCGTGAGGATAAGGAGTTAGGAAAGCAGTAGGCAATTAAATAAACGTTAAAGACAAATAAAAGAATGGACACTTGATACATGAAGACGAAGACAAAAACAAAGACACTCCCTCCATGAGATTAGTCAAACACCATGCATCTTTTTTCTAGTTTCTTCCCACACTTTATTTTATTTGAATCTTTGGATTTACGCGCTAACTAACAAGAGTTCACATGTTGACAGATCGATAATCATAAGATTAGTTCCCATTCACAGTTTTAATTTGTCCTTTGCACTTTAATTGCTTTTCTTATACTATAATGTTGAAGTTAATTATCTTTCAAGCATCTGCATGCCAACACATTTATTAAAACAAAGTCAACTATTTATTTTGCATACCTTATAGTATAATCTACCTTTTTATTTATTAAAAACTCAAATTCCTCATTGACTTTTGAGATTTAATCTCCTTAAAAAAGAGATTATTATTAATTAATATGTATTATTAAAATCGTTTAGTATATAAAGGAATGTAATAAGCTCATGTATCATCATAGGCTTTAAAACATAATCACCCATAAAATTTATTGACTCTTCAAAAGGGAATATTACAAAACCAAATGTTACAAAATAGTGACAATTTCTCCCAAATACTAACGTCGTTAACTCATTTGTTAGATTGAGGGGCAACGTTAGATATTTACTTAAAATTAACTCTAAATTGAAAGCGATCAAACTCAACAAAGTATTTCAAACTGAAAAAATAAAAATTATATAATAAAACTTTTTTTTTTTGGGGGGGGGGGTGGGGATGGGATTGAAGGGCGTCTTCTTTATATTTTGGTTAATATTTATTTTTATTATTTTCTTAATTTAAATTTTTCTATTTTTAATTATTGTCTTATAAAGATGGTATATATAATTTGTTCTTCGTTACAAATTGTTCTTTCTTTTTTAGTTTCCAGTTTTATTATTCAAAAATGAAAAGTATTTTTTTAAAATAATTTTTTAATTTTATCATGTTATATTTATTGTTTTGTTGATTTTATTATTTTCAAATGAGATAAAAGGGTTTTTATGTCTTTTAATTTGATTTTGTAGATTAGATAACGGACTTGAGTAACGGAAGCTAGATTTGGGTGAAATAATTTGTATCTTTAGGTGACTTTTTAGAACTAGCGGGTGATAGTTAATTTGGATTGATTGAAAAGGACGCAACTTAGACTGAGTCAGCTTGCATGGAGAAGTAAGAAGAATGAGTGTGAGGACACACTTCCAGCATGTTAAATCAACCTGAAAGGCCTTAACATAATCTTCACAGTACCCCTCACCAGGCCTTATAGTATAGCTACTTAATCACACAAAGACGTTCCACCAATAAGCAGCATACAGTTTATCCGTAGAGAAAAACTTCAATTCCTTAGCCACTACTCAATTTTAACATGAAGTGCTGATATTCTCTCAAATGTGCCTAACAATTGATTACGAAAACTATTTTAAGATAAGGCTTACCTTCTCCATGTTAAGCTGTATACCTGAGACTAAGCTCAAATAGGAAGACAATTGTAAAGCAAATAATTCATAGTCCCATGCAGCTACTAAAAAAAAAAAAAAACCCTCAAAAGATACAAATCTTACTTCTACTTTATCAAACAAATGGTACTCATCGTCAACGGATCCAAACCAGGAGCGTCATTTCGATCATCTTCCAGTCCCCCAATTCCAATTTTCCCAACACTTTTGACCAAAGAATTCATATTGTGTAGTCAAGAGGCATTACCTGCAACAGTTCAAGACTCAACACAAACTAAACACAAGACCGTACAAATCAACACAACAAGTAGCCCAATTAACAAACTTTAAACCTAACACGAAGTAAAAGAATAAAGAATTCAAGAATTCCGGTAGTAAATGATAATTCCCAGAAAAAGAAATAAAAAAAAAAAAAAGAAATTGGAGGCAGAGAGAAAAGGAAGGAGAGAGAGAGAGAGGGGAGAGAGGTGTAACCGGTGGAGGAGGAGGAGTGAGCGAAGAGGTGGAAATCTTTGCCATCCGATCTTCCATATTTACAGAGGGAACCAAAACCCTAAAGAATCGAGCGGGGGGAAGTGTGAAAGCGTGAAAGTGTCAGTAGCAAGTGGAGAGCATGGTGAAGAGAAGGAAGGGAAGTTAGGGTTTGGTTGGGATGTAGAAAGAGGAAGGAGGAATAGTAGGAGAAAGGAGAGATGATAAAAATGAAAATGAAAAAAGAAGACTGCATGCGCGTACAAACTACAACAAGAGACACATGTGCACGCTTAGACAAGGACCCTCACAACAACACTCCTCCCTTTACAAAAAACACCAACTCTCTCTTAACTAATAAATCACTTTTTTTACTTTTTATTTCTAAATATTTCATTCAAAATAAAAATATAGTATTTGAAGACTCGTTCGGTTTAGTTAGAGTAAACAATATGTTTTTAAAGATAGTTTTCGATAGGATCTGAGAAGTTAGTTAATGTGTTGATGATCCTTATCTTTTTAAAAAAAAAATTGGATGAGGAAATTTTCGATATCAAAAATATTTGATTTAATTATTTTTTAAGAGTCGTTTTTATTATTCTAAGTTTGGAAGAATTTTTTTTATGGAATTTTAAATTGTGTTTTATTCTACCAAATTACATGGTAAGATAATAATATTAATACCCCAAAAAAAAATAAAAAATAAAAAATAGTTCAATACCTCGTACATATTTAAACAAACTAATTAGGGGTAAATGAAATTAAAAACCTCAGGGAATTACCCACCTAAATTAATTTTGTAAACTTAAAAGAGTCTTAATCTAAACCTTCATGCAGCTTTAGATGATGCAAGGCTCAGATGGTTTTGAAGATCCAAGTCAAAAATAATTAAGAGCTAAAAAAGGTTTTTGTAGAAATACTGGTTTAGGAGTCATGAATACATTTGCATGCAGGTGATAACTATAATTAAAACAATTGTGGGTAAACATGATGCATTAGTTTACTTACACAATAATAAAACTTTTAACACCTATGTAATCTAGTATTTTCTCAATCTTTGATCCATCGAATATCGTGTTATTTGGACCATTATTGAAGGCATGAATGCCTAGTCTTTTCTTTCTCTCCCATCTTATCACATATTCTTTTCTTCTAGTTCTCCTTATTAATGTTCTATCTTGTCATCAATTTCTTCTTTGATAACCCCAATTCACTGCACATGTCACCATTCAGAAGCCATTGTACATGTAATTATTCACAGTTTCTACTCAGTTCATGACTCTTCAAATTTTCACCATCAAAATTTTTTCCTTGAAACCCTAATTCTGTTTCAAAAAGCTTACATTTCTTATACTACATATGCATCACGTATATCATCACCAGTAATGCCATCAAGTTATTATGAACCTTGCTAGATGATCCCCAAATCTTCAATCCCTTGCAAACACCTAACCCAACCAAAATCTCATGTCAAGGCGGTATAAGCACAACTAGTGGACTTCATACTAAGCCAAATCCATGCCAATTCTGAAACTCCAAGGTACTATTCAATTAATTCTCCCCTGCAAACACTCATCTCCTAGTTCTAGCATAATATCAAATTAACTCAATTTCCCCATCAAAAGCTCATGATATCAAGATCACAGAACACTCTCACCAAAATTAATGGGTCTGTAATGGGTCTGTTTGGTACACTATTTAGACACTTTTTAGAATAGTATTTTGAAAAAAGTTGAGTTTGGTTGTTTTACGAGAATAAGATTTGAATTTGAAAATGTGTTTGGTACATCTCTTAATAGCATTTTTTGAAAATATTGTGATTATATTTTAACCTCCTAGGTTTGTCAATTTAACTAAACACACCCCACAATAAAAGTTTATAAATTGACAAAAACACCCCCACTCACCCACATATTACCGGCTGCTGACCACCACCATCGAAAGGTGGCCGGAATCTATCAAAATGGAGCACAACCAGCTAGATCTGGCAAGTCGTGCACCGATCTGGCATTTTCCAACCAAATCTATAACCACAAATCTGACTGTTGACAGCCATATCTGGCGAGGTCTGGTTGTCGTTAACGGCCAAACGACATCCAAGATATCCGGCCGTCAACGACGGCCAATAGCCAAGATATGGCCGCCATTGACAACTAGATCTAGCCATCAGCGACCAGATCTTTAGTCATAGATCTGGCTGTTGCCGATCAGATTCATAATGGATCTTGCCGGAAAAGGTCAAATCAGCACACGACCGCCCAGATCCAGTCAGTCGTGCGCCATTATGGCGGTAGCAACAACTATTGGCAGGCGATAGTGGCTTGGGTTTGTGGGGGTGTTTTTGTTAATTTTATAACTTTTATTGAGAAAGGTAATTGTTAATGTTTTAAGTTGAATAGAATAGGATTGAATTTTGAAGAGAATTTTGAATATTGAAACAAATATGTATTTGGATAGGATAGGGTGAAAATGTTGTACCAAACAGAGCCAATGTATTTGCTATTACCATGACTGATACTATATTTTATGCCATTACAGGATCAGTTACAGGATCAGACACACAAAGAACAGCAATTCCAAAAAATAAGGGATACAAGTGGTCTTCCATAGAAGCACCTTTGCTGTTCTCACACTGCACAGTGAATCATTTAAATCGAATATTCTTGTCCTTGTTTATATCTATAAATGCATGGTCTTAAAATAGAATATAGAAACTTCAAACAATTTAATCTTGTCCCTATATCCTAAGATTTGGGTCAGTGAAAGGTCTGACAAAGCACACACCTGTAAATGATGCCCATTACTGAGCCAATGGAAAAATAGTTATTGTCATCTCTGACAGAAAGGAATCAAGTACAATGACTATAATTTTACATGGACAATCTTGTATTCCAGCATATCTGCAAGATCATAAAAATGAACGAATCTGACCTTCACAAAAGTAGAAAATGAAAGAATCTGACCTTTGCAAAAGTAGTAGTCATATCATCCACATCGGGTATAGCTCCAAAACCCTGAAGAAAAAAGCAAGGGTGTGTTATGCCATAGAAATTGAAAATTTGGGGTCAAAATTTTAAAACTTAAAAGTGATTAATACTATTAAGAGAGACAAATTCAGAAACTCTACAAGAAATGGCAAAGAATGTTATCAATATTTAATCAAGAAAAAAGCTGCAAGTCTCATGTATATCAGCAAGCCTTGGCATATAGCAAAAAGCATGCAAAAAAACATTCGTGTCACTTATATCTTCACATGAAGATTAGGGAAAGAAGAGGACACACTTCCATGCATGTTAAATCAACCTGAAAGGCCTTAACATAATCTTCACAGTACCCCTCACCAGGCATTATAGTCATATAGCTACTTACATCACACAAGACGTTCCACCAATAAGCAGCATACAGTTTATCCGTAGTAAAAACTTCAATTTCCTTAGCCACTACTCAATTTTAACATGAATGTCTGATATTCTCTCAAATTGTGCCTAACAATTGATTACGAAAACTATTTTAAAGATAATGCTTTACCTTCTCCATGTTAAGCTGTATACCTGAGACTAAGTTCAAATAGGAAGACAATTGTAATGCAAATAACTTCATAGTCCCATGCAGCTACTTAAAAAAAAAAGAAAAAAAGGAAAAAAAAAAAACCCTCAAAAGATTACAAATCTTACTTCTACTTTATCAAACAAATGGTACTCATCGTCAACGGATCCAAACACAGGAGCGTCATTTCGATCATCTTCCAGTCCCCCCAATTCCAATTCTTCCCCAACATTTTGACCAAAGAATTCATATTGTGATGCATCAAAGAGTGCATTACCTGCAACACAGTTCACCAAGCATCAACACAAACTCAAACACAATTGACCGTACAAATCAACACAACAAGTAGCCCAATTAACAAACTTTAAACCTAACACGAAGTAAAAGAATAAAGAATTCAAGAATTCCGGTAAGTAAATGATAATTCCCAGGAAAAAGAAAAAAAAAAAATTGGAGGCACAGAGAGAAGGAGAGAGAGAGAGAGAGAGAGAGAGAGAGAGAGAGAGAGAGAGAGGTGTAACCGGTGGAGGAGGAGGAGTGAGCGAAGAGGTGGAAATCTTTGCCATCCGATCTCTCCATATTTACAGAGGGAACCAAAACCCTAAAGAATCGAGCGGGGGGAAGTGTGAAAGCGTGAAAGTGTCAGTAGCAAGTGGAGAGCATGGTGAAAGAGAAGAGAAGGGAAGGGAAGGGAAGTTAGGGTTTTGGTTGGGATGTAGAAAGAGGAAGGAGGAATAGTAGGAGAAAGGAGAGATGATAAAAATGAAAATGAAAAAAGAAGACTTGCATTTGCGCGTACAAACTACAACAAGAGACACATGTGCACGCTTAGACAAGGACCCTCAACACAACACTCCTCCCTTACAAACAAACACCAACTCTCTCTTAACTAATAAATCACTTTTTTTACTTTATTATTTCTAAATATATTTCATTCAAAATAAAAATATAGTATATTTTTAAGACTCGTTCGGTTTAGTTAGAGTAAACAATATGTTTTTAAAGATAGTTTTCGATAGGAATCTGAGAAGTTAGTATAATGTGTTGATGATCCTTATCTTTTTTTTAAAAAAAAAATTGGATGAGGAAAATTTTCGATATCAAAAATATTTTGATTTTTAATTATTTTTTAAGAGTCGTTTTTATTTATTCTAAAGATTTTGGAAGAATTTTTTTTTATGGAATTTTAAATTGTGATTTTATTCTACCAAATTACATGGTAAGATAATAATATTAATACCCCAAAAAAAATAAAAAATAAAAAATAGTTCAATACCTCGTACATATTTAAACAAAGCTAATTAGGATGTAAATGAATTAAACTAAAGGGAATTACAGCACCTCCCCTGAGGTTTGAGAAATTAATGGGAGACCCCCTATGTATGAAAAATCACCATGACGCTCCCTAAGGTTTTGCAAAATTATCACTAATAGAATCAGTTAAAATATTAAGCGTAATTTTTGAAAAATAAAAAATACTTATTGTCGATTAAGAGTTGCTTAATTGCATCACCAACTCCCGATTAGACTTGTCATCAATAGATTTATTGAATAGCATGATCATCGACTACATATATGGAGCCAAAACATCAAATTGGGATTGTCGGAATTGAGTTCACATCGTTGGTGAACTGTATTGAGTCATCAAGATGGACCATCAACAATTAATTAAATTTTACAATAATGCGTTCAAATATTTGGGTGAGTTATTGATGTTTACCTACAACTTTTTAGTTCTTGCACATAGATATATCATATGTTGCAATCCTATGTCGAATAAAATTTAATTGAATGTTATGTTTATAATGTTACATCAAATAGAAATAAGTTAGGTTTTAGACTTATATAGTCTTAGAGATTGGGATCAATGGACTAATCAAAGAGTAATATCGATTACATACGTCTATATATATAGTAGATAATAGAATCGATCACATGTAAGTAGGCCTATCATCTAGCATGTTAATTTATGATTAACTTAATAATTGACGCAACCAACCATCATTCAGAAATAAGTACTTGCGTGCAATCCAGTGAGGGGTTTAAATCCATAAAAATGTCCATTGAAATTGAATCAAAAAGAGAGAGAGTGAAGTGACATCATTTGAGATTTCGTGAGGATAAGGAGTTAGGTAAGCAGTAGGCAATTAAATAAACGTTAAAGACACAGAAAAGAATGGACACTTGATACATGAAGACGAAGACAAAAACAAAGACACTACCTCCATGAGATTAGTCAAACACCATGCATCTTTTTTCTAGTTTCTTCCCCCACTTTATTTTATTTGAATCTTTGGATTTACGCGCTAACTAACAAGAGTTCACATGTTGACAGATCGATAATCATAAGATTAGTTTCCATTCACAGTTTTAATTTGTCCTTTGCACTTTACTAGGGTTTTAATTGCTTTTCTTATGCTGTAAAGTTGAAGTTAATTATCTTTCAAGCATCTGCATGCCAACACATTTATTAAAACAAAGTCAACTATTTATTTTGCATACCTTATACTATATGCTACCTTTTTATTTATTAAAACTGTTTGTAATTACTCAAATTCCTCATTGACTTTTGAGATTTAATCTCCTTAAAAAGATATTATTATTAATTAATATGTATTATTAAAATCGTTTAGTATATAAAGGAATGTAATAAGCTCATGTATCATCATAGGCTTTAAAACATAATCACCCATAAAATTTATTGACTCTTCAAAAAGGAACATTACAAAACCAAATGTTACAAAATAGTGACAATTTCTCCCAAATACTAACGTCGTTAACTCATTTGTTAGATTGAGGGGCAACGGTAGATATTTACTTAAAATTAACTCTAAATTTAAAGCGATCAAACTCAACAAAGTATTTCAAACTGAAAAAATAAAAATTATATAATAAAACTTTTTTTTTTTGGGGGGGGGGGGGGGGGGGGGGGGGATTGAAGGGCGTCTCTTTTATATTTGGTTAATATTTATTTTATTATTTCTTAATTTAAATTTTTCTATTTTAATATTGTCTTATAAAGATGGTATTATAATGTTTTCGTTACAATTGTTCTTTCTTTTTAGTTTCCATTTTTATTATTAAAAATGAAAAGTAGTTTTTTAAAATAATTTTTAATTTATCATGTTATATTTATTGTTTTGTTGATTTTATTATTTTCAAATGAGATAAAAGGGTTTTTAGCTTTTAATTTGATTTATTTTGAGATAGATAACGGACTTGAGTAACGGAAGCTAGATTTGGGTGAAATAATTTGTATCTTTAGGTGACTTTTTAGAACTAGCGGGTGATAGTATAATTTGGATTGATTGAAAAGGACGCAACTTAGACTGAGTCAGCTTGCATGGAGAAGTTATTTAGTTTGAGGGTGTGAGTTTGTCGTTATTTTATACTCGTTCATTTGAAGTTACACCATCCCATTTCTTTCTTTGAAGGTTCTTTCTTCGATCCGCCTGCCTTTTATTATTGCCTAATCTATGACGACTTTCATCCCTTCTCCGTCGTCAACTTTCTCATTCTCTTTAACATTTGCATCATGGTTTGTTCTCTCTTCTTTATATTTCCTTTATATATATGCTCCAGAGTTCAATTCTGAGTTATATTGCTATAAATTTTGGTTTGTTTTTATTGTAACAGAAGATTATGAAATAACTTTTCATAACGTTCGATAGAAGATCAGAAGAACACAAGGCAACACAAACCTTGATTATTTGAAGGTGAGTTTTCATTATTTCCAGATTATATTATTGTTGAAAATGAAATTTTGTGATAAGTTGTGTCTCATAACATATTAAAAGTTGGAAATGGCCGACGGTTTGTAAGCTTTCAAATTCTTAGCTTAAGATTCTGTGTAAACATGGCCATGAAGCGAAGAAGTTTGCAGTGAAAGTTGAATATCTGGCAATGGATGTGTGGCGTTATTATATTGTTAAGGATTTATTTGCTCTTGTCTTAATCGAGTTTATTCTAAATAAACAGGCATGGATGGTGTGAATGCAAAACGACGGGAGAATTTTACCGGCAGAATTCTTGTGGCTGCCCTCTTGGCAACTGTTTTGATTATTATCTTCACAACTTCATCTGATTTTAGCACCCCCAATGCAGTATATTTCTGATCCTTTAATATCAATCATTGATCTTTTAGCCCCCAAAATCCTGTTAAAAATTTTGTATTACAACTGATTTACTTCCAATGTTTTTCTTCAGAAGAATCCTGCTTTCTTTGTTATGGGTACTGAAAATGACCCTTTCTCTATATGTTGACAGATCTTTCTTTGCAATGTAACATTAACTTTTTCATTACATTTCCAGTTCTCCCGCCATGAAACAGGAGTGACTCATGTCTTAGTCACTGGAGGTGCTGGCTATATAGGCTCTCATGCGGCGCTTCGACTCCTCAAAGATCCATACCGTGTAACTATAGTGGTATATTTCATTCTGAAAGAAGGTTTCTCAGTCATTAAAAACAACTTAAATAAAAAATGTCACTATGTTGCATTAATTTGAAAAGTATTGCTTATTACAACAGGATAATCTTTCCAGAGGCAATATGGGTGCTGTTAAAATTCTCCAAAAGCTATTTCCAGAGCCTGGACGTCTTCAGTTCATCTATGCCGATCTTGGAGATGCAAAATCGGTACTAAACAACATTAATCAACCATTTTTTTTAATGCTTGATGTGCCTATACAAAACTGTATAGAGATACATATATGACTTTATTTTCTTTAAGAAATATTTCAGGTCAACAAAATCTTTGCAGAAAATGCATTTGATGCTGTGATCCATTTTGCAGCTGTTGCTTATGTTGGTGAAAGTACACTTGAACCTCTTAGGTATTAATTCGATTAAAGTGATGCAATTCTCTGAACCAACTCGTTGAAGATTTCAGGTTGTTAAATTTCATAGGAAATTTTCTCCGCAGGTACTATCATAATATAACATCAAACACCTTGGTAATTTTAGAGGCAATGGCAGCACACCATGTGAAGACACTGATATATTCTAGTACTTGTGCAACTTATGGAGAGCCTCTGAAGATGCCTATCACAGAACAAACTCCTCAAGTGAGATTTCTTCATACATTTTCCTTGCGTATATTTCAGTTTACAAGTTAAGACTTTGTTAATAAACCAATGACTTTGCAGCTAAATTTGACTAGTTTCTGTATTTCTCATCTATTTGTCAATGCAGATGCCCATCAACCCATATGGAAAAGCCAAGAAAATGTCAGAAGATATCATAATCGACTTCTCCAAAACCACCAACATGGCTGTCATGATCCTAAGGTTGGTGACGCTATGATTTTCTATTGTCTTTCTAATCTTCAGTACCTTAATCGCCTCATCTCAAAAGACACATATATACATATATAGGAAGGGTTTGACTTTTTCTATATGACCGTAATTGCAGATACTTTAATGTGATTGGATCAGACCTAGAAGGAAGATTAGGAGAAGCTCCTCGTGCTGAGCTAAGAGAGCATGGCCGTATATCAGGTGCTTGTTTCGATGCAGCTCGAGGGATAATTCCTGGACTCAAGGTTAGAGGAACAGACTACAAAACAGCTGATGGGACTTGTATAAGGGACTACATTGATGTCACCGACTTGGTTGATGCTCATGTGCTTGCTCTTGCCAATGCAAAACCTGGGAAAGTTGGAATCTACAATGTTGGCACAGGAAAAGGTACTTGACAGTCATCTTTTTAATAAGTCGTTTAATCTATGATCTGAAAATAATTTAAACACATGCTTTGTTTGGATGAATTGCAGGAAGATCAGTGAAGGAATTTGTGGAAGCATGTAAGAAGGCAACAGGGGTGGATATAAAGGTTGAATATCTGAGCCGCCGGCCTGGGGATTATGCAGAAGTATATAGTGATCCAACAAAAATAAGGCGTGAGCTGAATTGGACAGCCAGGTATACAGATATTCAAGAGAGTTTAAAAGTCGCATGGAGATGGCAGAAGTCACACATGAATGGCTATGGTCCTTCCAATGCCACAGATTAACCGTTATATAGCAGAGTTCATTGTAGATTTGTAGTAGATTATTAGCCAGGTCTACCAAAAAGTAGGCCTTTTATGCGAGTATATGAAAACTTATCCACTATTATTTATGAATATCTAATAAAGTGAATGCAGTGGGGAAGAGTAATAGTTCTAGAATCAGTCTAAATTTCAAAACAGTGCTAATCTTACAAAGAAGCCTACAAAAGAGGTATACAAAGTTAACCTCCACCCTTCATCTTCATCATTTCTCTCTCTCTCTCTCTTTCTCTTTTTCTGTTTTTCCTTTGTTTTTTTCTTCACTTTGTAAGCTTCTTTGTAGGCTTCTTTGTAAGGATAGACTTATTCATTTCAAAAATACCTACAAGTATATGACAATACTCTGTCCCTAGTACATTACAATACATGTCTGTGCTTCTAATCTGCTCGGCTAAAGTCTTCTATGTACTGCAAATTTCTTCAGTTCTAGAGTGTGTTGGATAATCAGAGAGAAAAGTAAGTATCTGATTTCTAATTTCAATCCAGCTGTATCCTGGTTGTTTCTCTGTCTCACTCCCTTTCATTAACCCCCTCACTTTCTCAACCTCATCCCATCTGCCTGCCTCAGCATGCATGTTTGACAAGAGTGTATAATGTGAAGTTTTCTGAGATTCAAGTTCCAAAAGCTTCTCCACAACAACTTACCAAGCTCTAGGTTTTGATGTGTTCGGCACGCACCCAGTAGTGTACCCCATATTCCAGCATTTGGTTTCATCTTCGTTCCCCTCACCATGTCAAAGGCTTCATGTAATCTCCCAGTGCGGCCTAGCAAATCAACCAAGCATGCATAGAGTTCAAACAGAGGCTCCATACCATACACTTCTGTCATGCATTTAAACAGTTTTAAGCCCTCATCAACAAGGCCAACATGACTACATGTCGAAAAAACCCCAATGAAGGTAACCTGATCAGCAGCCACCCCTTCCATTACCATCTCTTCGAAGAGTTTAATTGCCTCTTTCCCACACCCATTAAAGGCATATCCAGCAATCAAAGAATTCCATGAAACTACATCAACTTGACCAATATCTTTGAATACGAGTTCTGCGTTAGGGAATCTTCCACATTTAGCATACATGGTGATTAAGGAATTGCCAACAAACAAATCGTTCATGTATCCACTCTTAATAACAAGATGGTGCATTTTCTCCCCAACTTGCAAAGCTGCAAGATGGGCCATGCACTTAGTCCGCATGCAAAAGCTGAGTGGTCAGGTTTTTTGAGTTCTCGGCCCATCAATGCGAAACTCTTTAATGCATCCAAAAACAACCCATTTTGCAGAAAACCAGCAATTAGTGAATTCCACGAAACTATATTCCGGTTCCCCATCCCTTTAGAAATCTTAAGTGCATTATCCATATGTCCAATTTGAGCATGACCAGCAATCATAGTATTCCAAGTAACTATGTCCTTATTGACCATTTGTTTAAATAAATTAAGAGCCTCATCCATTTTGCCACACCGTGCATAGCCAGCAATCATGGAGTTCCAACAGACAACATCATGTGTGCCAATCTTTTTGAAAATTTGACTAGCTTCATCCATTCTTTTACTATGTACATATCCAGAGATCACCGCAGTTTGAGCTGCAATATTATTATAAGGCATCTGATCAAGGCATTCTCCGGCTTTGTCAATCTTACCAACAAGAACATACCCATCAATCATTGTTGTCCATGAGACAGGGTCCCTCCTCGGCATTTCCATAAAGAGCTTAGCAGTCTCATCAATTCGGAAGCTCTGAACATAAGCTGCAATCATAGCATTCCAAGAAACAACATTTCTACTAGGCATCTTGTCAAATAGTCTCCTAGCCTCCAAGATATTACCACTTCGTGCATATCCACATATCATTGTTACCCAAGAAACAAAATTGGGGTTTGGAATTTTTTGAAAGAACTTCCAAGCAGAATCCAAATCATCCACTTCCACAAATTCATCCAACATTAAGTTCCAAGAAACCATATTACGTTCTTCCATTTCTTCAAAAAAATTCATCACCAATGACATTTCCCCATTCTTGGTATACCCTGAAAGCATCGAATTCCATGAAACAATATTCTTAGCAGGCATTGCATCAAATAACTTCTTAGCATCATCAAACTTCCTTTTCTTGGCATAACCCGAAATCATTGCATTCCAACAAGCCACATAATAGTTCCCTTGCCTTTTCAAGTTTGCCATTGCATGTTTAACAAGTAATCATCAAAGACCATGAAAAGAGATCTCTTCTGGACATTTTGTCGAAGAGTTCACGGGCTATCTCAACTCTATCATTATGCAAACACCCAGCAGTCATTGTGTACCAAGAAACCATGTTTTTGCGAGGCATTTTCTCAAACAGTTGAAATGCATCACTAATTCTGCCATTACGAGCAAAGGCAGAGATCATTGAATTGTATGTTACAGTACTCTTCTGGGTCATTTCTGAGAATATTTTGATAGCTTCTTCAATTCGATTTGACTTCCCCTACTGAGTAATTTTCAGGTTCTGGTTTTAAAGACATGACCACCTCGTTCTCCAATTGATTTGAGCCTTTGCTTCATGGCTTACAACGATTCTACAAACTTTGCCCACATTAGTTTCCTATTTGCTGTGTCAAGTTTCTTGAGCACTTTTTTGGCTCACATCAATGAGTTTTCAAAACAGTGTTCCTGGTTAGTTATGCAGTTTTGTTAGAGCTCGGGGCTGTCTTTAAAAATTGTAAAGAAAAAAAATTTAAAAAAAAAAAAAGTTTGATTAACAATAGCAATAATCCAACTTACTTCTTCTGCTCATTCTCCTTCTCATCCAACCAACTCTTAAACTTGTCAGCATCTTTCAAAACCTGGAAACAAATAAACCTCAAATGAACATGACAAATATGCAAGCCATAGAGAAACCTTATTATTTTGGCCTATTGAAACCCTTTTAAAAGTCTATATGTAAAAGCAACATATATGCAAACAAAAAGAACAAGTGAAAACTGTGTAAACATGAAAGAAACCTTATTTCTTTTAGGAACATAGAACTAATGTATTGAAAATGAAGAAAGTTTTAGGGCATACCACATATCCACAATGAAAGAAACTTGTATTAACACGTATAAAGTTTTAGGTTTTATTTATAATACCCCCAAACCAATAGTATTATTCTACATCAATTTAAAAGAAATAAAATAGAATTTGTAACTATAGTGCATGTTTGACAAACATTCATAGATGGATGCCTACTAAATTAACTTGTTCCTTCAGCAGGCTTCAGAATTGATAAAATTATACTACGCCGGGTAATTAATTAGAAAACCAATATAAAATTGTACAACAATGAACTCTCATTAATATGAAAATTGCCATTTAACATATAGAAAGAAGCATACAATTTATCAATCTGTAATATCAAAACACAGCTTAGCCTTGTCCCAAGGACCATTAATATCAAATTTGTATTCTTGAATCTGTATAAGCCAATAAGGGCATACCACAGTCACAAAAACCAACAAGCCTAAGAACAAGATGAAAAGTAACCAGTGCAGCATAAAAACGAAAGCCAATGTCGTAAACATCAAGGTAAATGAGAACAAAAGGTGTAAACGGAAGGAGTATTTCTTTACACAGTATGTGACTAGTGGAGCAAAAAAGGAAGACTAACAAGGAGAATACCATGATAGCAAAGACATGTAGCCTTGATGGAAGGCAGGATGCAATGAAAACAGATGCCACAACAGAAGCATTTAAAGAGATGCAACTGTTTAAAGTTGGATTCTGTAGAGCCCCTGGAGCATTTATAGTGGACCCTGAATAGTCATGCAGGAAGAGATGGAGTATGAGAAGTGAGATGGTCACAGCCCAGATTGAGTCTGAGCTTATAGACCTCATGAGTGTTTGGTAGATAGGAGCCAAAACATAAAGATCGGTTATAAAAAAAGAGATGTTGAGAATATAATGGAACAGCAGGTTAAGAGAAATCATTTCTTCAGTTAAAACGAGAATCAAGAAACCTGACACAAGGAGACTTACATCAAGAAGCAAAAGGGAACTTTCATCAAGAGTTGATCTCAGTGTGTAGATCCAAACCAACAGAACGAGAGCAACAATGCATAGATATTGTGAGATGGAAACCGAGTCTTGCATCACTTTTATCATGTCCCGTTTAACTACATTGGCATTCATAATCATATGTTCAAGAAAAGACTCACCCATGTGGTTGTCTTCGAAACAAGTTTGCATTCCTCCACATGCCACTTTTCTCCATCTGGGTGGAGTTGGAGGAGAGCTATTTCTATCCATAGCCATTCCACCGCTCTATCGAAACTGTAATTTGATCAATTTCAAATTGTTAGCACTTGAAGAAACATCTTTCACAACGCAACCCCTGCTTCAGATAGGCCTATTCCACCACATATAAGATTCAGAAGAAACAACAAAAATGCCAAACAAATGTTTTACTGCTGCAACATCCACTTCAAAATCAAATAAACCTGTCCACACATGGCAACAATTAGGTTCATAATCACTAATCACAGTAATAACTAGATGAGAAAACTGCAACGGACAAACACAAAACTTAAACATTCCTCTCTTATAAAATTTCTTTAATTAGTTATGATAGCAACTATAATTGTCCAAGTACACCGACAACTAAAATGACTAAAGACATTGACAACTTAATGAGAAAACTCATTTAATTTCTGTTTATATCATAAGATTTGCTTAATAGTTTCGACAACTATCCTCAAACGCATAAAAAGCCAGTCAAAATTCCCAAATAGTAGAACCAGCAATGATGAATACCTCACTTCAGAAACCAAAAAAACTTATGTGAAAATGGAAATTATAGTCAGCTTATAACAGCTCAAAATATAACAACAAAAACTTTGGCTGCTCAAAACACATACACAATCATAGACACCATGAACAATTAGAATCAAAGTCAATATAATTCAAAGAGGACTTGGGATCCGTACTCAGAGGCTTAAACTTTTCTGGCAAAGAGCCGTGGTGGAGGTAACGATAGAATTTCGGAGAATCCATGGCAATCACTCTAATTCACTTCTCTCTTTTGGTTCCTCTGTCAAACATTAGAAGCTTTCTGTGAGTTTGAGTATGGCAGCCAAACATTTAAAA